TATATTTTCATTGTTACTGGTTGGGATCACCATCCTTGGAAATGTTAACAATCCTGACCGTATTAGGTGGTGGCAGAAGACAGTTAAGCACACGTCGCTGTCCAGAGCAAGCTACATGACATTTCACAAAGGAATTTCAACTATTTAGGTGCAAGGCCAAGGTGTTATTTGATTAAGGAACAGAGGTGGAGACAAACAGGTAGAGCATGAGAACAGACTGACCAAAAAGTGAGACATGGACCAAAGAGGTTCACAGCAGAAGCCAGAGAAAATTGGACAATAAGTCTGAGGACGCTGGCTGAAAGAATATCAAATAGTTTGACCCCATATGTTTCCAGAAATCAAACATTTTGTACTTATTTCATAAATAAGATTGAATTCTGTATCTGACCTTAACAGAATCAAATTACAACTACTTCAAATCTGAGACAGTCTTTCAGGTGAGGAAGATAACATAATGGTTCTATTGCCCTGATTTAGTGCTGGTACCTTATTTATAGCAAGTAAAACCAAGACAGAATTATATAGTTCATTACACTCTTGTGACAAAAACCCCTTTATGACTTGCACATATGTTGCAGAGAACCTGTTTTAGAAACACTTTAGAGACTAAAAATAAATACATTGGACCCATACAATAAATCCTGCAAACCATGTGCTTTAGATACCCTGAGACCAAGTGAACGGGGATGGAGAAAAAAACAATATATTTAGAGTGGCTAAAAATGACTCGAATGTTCTTGCTAGATCTAAAAATGTTTCCAGAATTAAGTCTGGCATTGTGGGAAGTTCTATGCATCCATGTGTCAACATGGACACCAAATAAATGTGTCCTATAAATGTTGCCTACACATGACAGAAGAGGATACATACAACTCCCTCTGCATGAAACATGGATGATTTATAACTGCTACTTTGTGTAAATTAACTAATATCTATCAATACATACTTAATAAATAATACAAAAAAGCTGCATATTTTTCTTCTGCATCACGTTTTATCTTTCTTACTATTTACCAATTCTTTGTGAATCAAGAACAATTATCTAAAAATGTATGCTTTCTATTATGCCACTACTAATTGTCTTCTATGCTTAATCCATGCATCTCAGCAAGTGGTCCAGCCCTATCACATTGAATTCCAAGCTTCATCTCCAGGGTCTCATGCAGTAGACATAGCCATGGGCTATAGCTAAGGTGTTAAAGAATTCCCCCTCTGGAGCTATTCTACATATGTGTATATGTACATATATATGCATATATAAACACACACAGCTCTCCAGCTGTGTAGTAGTCAACCTCATTTTTAATGTATAGAGAAGAGCACAAGTGGAAATCTACAAGCCCTTCCGTTTTTCATTGGAAGACTCATAAAACATAATCTGACCTTATTTCTATTCCTTTCCTTAAATTATTACACAAGCAATGCTGAAAATGAATCTTTGCTTGAAGATTTTGAGAGAGTCCTGAGAAGTAAAATGTATTAAACCCATCCTGTCCTTCTGACATCACTGATACCGCTCTACTAACAAGARCTCCTGCCTCCAGTGGAAACTTCCTTTCCCTCTTCCTGCTGTTTATGAAATGTTCTTGTCATTGATATAATCCCATTCCTTATTTCTGCTTAGAAGATACTTGTGAAGTTGTTGCTAAGTAGCTGTTGTTGAAAACTCATGAGGTTTTCCAGGCTTATCTCTGGAAAGTAAGTGAATGATTAAAAACCAAATTACTGCTTCTCCTAGGCTGGGGGGAGTACACAATTATCAGCTCAGGGTTCAGGGGCAAATCACAGGATGTAGCCTCAACGCAGGAGATACCAATGTACTATGCAAGTACATACACAAGAAGGTTCTCAGCAGTCTGCCTGATGATCTCTTCTGTTTTGCAGGGTTGCATGTGGGAGTTGTGAGTYCTTGTTCCTTTTTGTTTGTTCTGTTTGGGCTGTGTGAAGCCTTCTAGCCACAGAATGTGTATGTGGCATAGAACTTACTTTAAAATACCTAGAGGATTAGGTATTGAAGCTTTGGTCTCTGATGAAATGATTTAGTCAAAAACRTATTACAAGAAATAATGTTTAGGGCATAATGCCTTGTTGGAAGTAGAGAGGTTTAGTAATGCTAGGATGCTTGGAAATGGAGGATTAACAGATGTCTTGATTGAAGCTTTTCAAGACAAACTCATTAGGAGAGGCCAAGGGTCCCTTGAACAGACAAGAACTGTGTTTCTCTTGGGAAAAAATATAATGATGGCCACTTCTATTTCTAGATTTGCTGGTTGTGTATGAGACACTCATTATGGAAGAAATGAGCATGGGTGGTTGTTTGAACTGCAGAAAGGTAAGAAGTTACAGGGTTTTTTTATTTGAAAGCTTCCATAAAGAACCAGAGAAAGAGAAGGCTAATTTTGTTGATCAAGAAATAGTAGAGCTCTCACTTTTTCCTCCCTCTGTGGTTATTGGGTGGAGGATCCAAGGAGTGCCTGTTTGGTGAATCTGCAAATGCGTAACTGCAAGGAAGCCAGAAGGCACTGAGACATCAGGATCGTGTTAGGCTGGTTACTGCTGGTTTGAAAAGCCAGGCAGGTTTGCAGTGCTGCTATGCCAGGCTGTCCTTGTCAACTGCATCAAGCTAATTTCAGCTAATTTCAAACCTGACAAAGGCTGATTCTATTCTTACAGCCTGTTACTCTGACTGCATGTGTCTTTAGTAAYTCAGGAAAAGCACTTGATACACAASYCCAGAAACCCATCAGCTAACAGCATCCACTGATGAAACCTTTTCCTTCAGAAGGGTCCTTTTTAACCCTAAGGGAGGCTAAAATCCAAGATAAAACCCAAGAGTCTTCCCTGGCAGGAAGAGAAGCTTGCTGGACTGCAGCTCCCAGTGCAGAGCAGCCTCTTCTCTCCCAGTACTGGAGGACTAGCCCAAGGCTTAGGCAATCATCCCCCAGCCTTCCCCACTTGCCTCTAATTTGCCAGCTGCAGTACTAGCCAGCATGGCACTGCAGAAAACGGATGGTGCAGTGCTCTGGCTGCATGTGTGTCCACAGCGAGTCTCCATCTTTGGTCAAATTAGTGCCATAGCATCTGCAACCATAATTCTGTAGCTCATTTTCCCTTTTGTTGTTACCCTCCTCTTCATTCCCAGTTTTTAAGCACAGACAGAGGAAGGCTGGGATGAGGGTAGTGAATCTCATGGCTGTGGCATCAGATCAGGTCCTGAGAGAGTAAATATAATTTCTTAGCTCTACTGCAGTTCCCTGGGCAATCTTGAGTATGCCACTGAGCATGTGAGTTTTTCTTAGTTCCTCATCTCTAGACTGAGACCAGTATACAGCTTGTGAATACTCCTTATTTCTTCCATATAWTTTTTTCTTCTCAGTTACTTGAGTGAGAGCTCAATATAAGTATAAGAGCCTGACATGACATAACCTGTTGTGTTCAAAAGAACTCTGGAAAATACTGTAGATAAAGGAAAAACTGCTTTGAATATTCTCTTGGGTTTGGTTATTTTTGATTTGATGTTTTCTGTATGTCAGTCCTCAAGTGAAAAGCAAGCATTTTGTCTAGATATCTAGTTCCTCAGTGATCCTGTTCTTCTTAAGTTTTATTTGAACTGACTTCAATTGCTCTTAAAAAGGTTTTTGTTTTAGTAATTGCTCCCTTTTGGAACAACAAAGTCCAAGTTCTGCAGATTGAGTAACCTGCTTGACCTGTTTTTTCATAGACATCTGTTTCAAAGGTGATTTCACATAAGAAAGAGAAGGCAAGAAGGAAATGAGACTTCCAGATTGTTTTCGGCTTTACTGAGTCTTGTCAGTTTTCCTTATTCTAGATATGATGGGGCAGTTTCCTTGGGGTGCTACTTGGAAACATGAAATATTTCTTYCAAAAACTATTGCGGGAAAAAAATTAAAATTGCCTATAGAAATCACAGAACAACCTACTTTCAAAAGGGAAATCTGGGTGAAATCCCCATGTACCAGCCACATACTCAGGGACAGATGAGGGTAATTATATAGTTGAAGCATTTTACATTGTCTTGCAAATGTCCTCACCAAATTATAGCCGCGTGTGGCAATGGGTTCCTTAGTCTCTGGGTTCTTCCTGTCTGACAGTTACTGTGGTGTTTCACACATACTCCTATAATTACAGCTATTCTTAAAGTGGGTTGGAGTTAAATTTGAATCTGTAGAAAATCAGCCCTGAATAAAATTCCTGTCCATCTCTTAAAATGGATATCAGAACTTTTTGTATGTTCAGCAAAATTTTCTAAATAGTTTTCATAATTTTAATTCAATTTCCTACTTTCAACTAGATCTGAAAGTGGCAGCTCCACTCTAATGGTTGAATCTGTTGATAGTTTAAGATTACAAGAGCTGACTTGTTCTTWTGAAATCTGAGTACTTGTTTACTTTGTGCATTTAAAAATATACAGAATTGCTGGACAGAGTTCACAGCTACACTGGATTCACAGCAATTGGTCTCCTGAGAGTGAAAGGAAAAATTGGCTCAGGGGAAGGATCAGCCTGGAGTTAAGCAGAAAACAGGTTGTTTTCCTTATTTCCTGTCTCTATTTATACTTTTTTTTTTTTTTTTTTTTTTTTTTTAAAAGCAAGATCACATATAAATGTTTGCCAGGAAAAATCACAACATGTCTTGCCCCTGGAAAAAGACACACAGCTTAGTAGGTTGGTTTGGGGAATGTTTGCTGTTCAGCTGGTCACATTAATGCTATTCTGTGCAGTCTGGCTTCCTCCCTGCGGTAGGTTTTATGCCTGTGGTAAGTTGTGCCAGTCATATCTCTCCTCTCTGTCTGCCAGTATTTCAACAGCATCACAATTGTGCTCTCTGGCTTGCACAGGACTCCTACAGTGTGGCTTTGCTTGCACAGCAAAGTCAGTTCCTTCTTGGGCACTGGATTTGTGCCTTTGTTTCTGGCCTGAGATTTTTCCTCAGGCAGTTCCTCTTCCAGCATACCCCCAGGACAGGATTTTACTCACCTGACACTCAGGGGCTGAGCCAGTCTCTCATTTGCCATTGGGATGAAGTAYGTCCAAAAAAATCTGCATTGAACTCCCCCAAGTTGTTAAGAGATTTGCAATTCAGTTGTGAATCCAGAGGCAGATATGTCCCACAGAAGTTTACTGTCCTCCGTCCTTGCACCTTCCTGTCAGTTCTGCTTGAGAGTAAAGCTTTCCTCAGATGTTGTTTGYTCAGTTTCCAGAGTCACAGCAAACACAATTTAAAGGAACAGCTTTCTCTTTACTCAGGTAAGTTAGTGCAAATATGCCCTGAATGTCCTTTGCACTGCTTGTGCCAAGGCTTAATGACTAGGCATTGTTAAACCTCCCGTATAAATCTTTAACAACTGGGTGAAACTTTGGTCCAAATCTGCAAACTCAAATAAGTGGAAACAGTAAATAGTATTTGCTTCAACTTTTAAGGCCCRGTGGCTGAGAAACTGCTCTTGTTTTGCATTATTTACAGCCATTTGAGATGAAAAGACCTAAATGTTTATGACTATTTTTAGATTGCCATTTCTTAATTTCATGTGTGTTCACATACCTGGGCACTGGAGTGGATATGGCAAAACTAGTGTGGGTTTATTTTAAGGTTTTTTGGGTCAGTTCAAATGCCAGCTATTTCCTCTTGAAATAATTTCTTATTACCAGCTACTTGCTTGCTATGATTTGAATGTCCCTCTTCTGGGGGCAACTCAGGCCCAGTGTTTCAAAGGAAAACAAAGAAGTGTGTAATTACTGTAGACACCTGCACAGTGCTATACCTAGGAGAGAATTTTTCCTTCATTCTCAAAACTCACTTGGTATTTTTAAGCCTGMAGTTGGATTGACTCTTACAAAAAGCATCACACTGCCTGCTGAATTTGATGCTAGTCTTTCCWTTGTTTTTATTTTCTTTTTGAAGTTCACTGAACTTGCCAAGTCTCTTGTTCAACTCAAAATATTTTAATTGGTCATGACATTACCCTRTTATTTTTGAAATGCCCAACCTACTTCATGGAAAATGTTCACTGAGTTAAAATTGAGTTAATCTGAACTCAGACATCATAGATTCATGGTCACCAGTGTCAATGTCCCTTTATACCAGCTGAGGACCTGACCTGGGCATAGAGGGCTGTCACCAATTAATCCTGTAATGATTAATCAAGATCACCATTAGGCCTGTGCACTTCTGGTCTGAGAGCTGGCTGAACTCGGGAATGAGGGATGCAGTGGAATTTGGGCTCCTCTCTGTTGCAAGAGTTGCCCAAGGTGAATCTAGCTTAGCCATGTGCTTCAGACTTGCTTATCTGAGTGTCCCAGTACTGCAGAGTACATGAAGCAAGGGACTATGGTTTTACTGCATTTTCCAGTCATTGAATTGCTGCAGTGACTCCTCCTCAGCGTTGCTATTTTGAGGGCTAAATAAATCCTGCTTCTACAATCCTCTTTTTGTGTTCAAATCTCACTACCTCTCTTCCTTTGCTTCCCATAGATTATGCCATTCATCTTGTTAGCAAAAATAAAATCTATTTTTCTTTTATGTTCCAAATGGCTAAGTAAATGGAAGTGGTGTAATGTGTATAATAGCCAGGCTGTTTATTGGGTGTTGTCTCTCACAGGGTGAGGAAGCCTCCCTGTGACAAATTCACGACTCACCATGGAGTGCCAGAATGCTTACAGGTCTGCTGTGGTATGATGCTGTCGCCCTTTGGGTTAAAGGAATATTTTTTTATTTTTTCCATTTCTTTTCCACAAGGTGAGCAAATGAGTTGTGAAAGGCTTTTATTTACTGTCAGAGAGACACTGGCAGCAGGATTCTGTCCTTACTCCTCCTGATGGAAATCAAAAGTAATGTAACTGGAGTTTCACAGCAGAGTGTAAAAYAGTACAAACCCAAAGAGTACCTGCTCCTCATGCATGTTGCTCCCACAGYTGATAAGAATAGTGAAGTGCCAGTCTCAAATATGCTCAGAGGCTCTTTTCCTTCACTGGGATTGGCATTAAAAGAAAATGAGGGATGTCTTCTCATCCAGTGAACCCTGTTTCCCAAAGATCTCTGCTGTTAGCATTTGCCTGTTATATTCATAATTATTATTACTTTGGCTTTTCTTGCTTGTCTTTTTTTCCTCCCTGAGAGAACAGACTTTTAGTCAAAGCTCAGGTCTATAGGATTTATCTTCTACACCAACAATACTATTTTCTTCAATGCCTGCAAAGCAGCCCATCATGTTTGAACTTAATATTTGCAATACTGTTTATTTGCTGCCTCGCATGATCTGACCCCAGAGACCTCCTCATTTTAAGTACAGCTGCAAACAACARCAGCTACACTGTACAGTGTAGCAAGAACACTGAATTACCTGAGCCAGCCTTGCCTCTTTAATGATGCTAGGAATCAATGGATTCAGGTTGAGCATTTTGCAAGGGAAATATACATTGACAATTTTTAACGGACTGAGTGTCACTCACTAAATGTACCATCTCCTGTTTTTCTGCTAGTTTCTTTTCACATATGCTCACGAGCATTAGTTTCTGAATTCTTTTCCTCAGCCTCCATTTGCAGCTATTGCTGAATCTTTCCTAGGAGGTAGCACCCAAAACAGAACATGGTCCTCCAAATTAAAATGCTCCATTGTTCAGGATTCTGTCATTATATTATCTTCTGCATTATTTTTATATCCTCTTATTAATGCACCCACACATCCCATTTGCATTTTTTAACCTTTTAAAAAGTGTTTTCATTACAACAATAAGTGCAATGAAGTAAGCGTGGAACAATAGAAGTAAAAATCTTGATCCTTCTCAGAACTAAACCTGTTTTAAACTTCAGTGGTGGCACTGATTTTGATTTACACTGAAAGGAAAGAAGGAAGATCAGCCTGTTCATGTCTGTAGGGGGACATCCATTTTTGATATATCATAAGGAACAGTTTTGTAAAATAGTTGCAGAACACAACATTTTGTTTCGAAACAGCACTTTCCCTTTTATCAGAAAGGAGGGGTTTTGCAAATAGCAGTCTATACTATGGACTGGAGGCTGAAGGGCAGTGCTGGAGCCTGGATGCTGGTAATACCATTGGTGATGGCAGGGAAGCAGTTCAGGGTGCCCATGTGTTGATTGTGGGGCTCCCCTGCTCAGGCACTGGGATTCACTCAGTTTAACCTCACAGCTGGACTCAGCAGCACACTCTTCACTTTGGCAGCTTTAGCCAATATAGACTGTTAGCTTTGGCACAGCCATATCTGATACTGATCCTCAGGAGTGGGTCAAAGGCAGGCCACCCTAACTGGCTTCAGGGGAATGTGTGGAATCTCTCTTGGAGAGGAAGAGATGGTAAGAAAGGTGGCCAGAGGCAGAGCCACTCTGCCATATGCTGCCACCATAGCCCATGAAATCATTGCCACCACACCAAGCCACCTTTGGGACTTCCACTCAGAAAAGATGGACAACCACTTTTAAGCTGCAGCTGGGAAAGATGATTTCTATTAAACGAAAGAGAATTTTTAGGTTGTCTGGCTGCAGAAGCCAAGTGTGTGACTCAGAAAATCACCTGAATAACACCGCTGTTAGCCAGGGAGAGGAAAAAAAGATGAAGAAATCCATAAAGCAATCATTCATGTCTGGCTTTCTCACAGACGCGCCTTAGCAGCCTCTTCAGTGTCTCTCTTCCTCCATTAATTGCTTCTGCTTTACTTTGGATTTTCTCCAGGAGTCACTGTTGAAAGTTAGTATCTGGTGGATATCAATGACATTGTCTCTGGAGGGACTTTTCTCACACTGACTGTTGTTTGATTCCGGGTGAAGCACTGAGATACAAATGCCCGTGGGCTTCTCTTGCATGTCCTAGTTAAGGCAGTACCTGCTGACTTAAGCAAGGTTTGTAAACATGGGGTGTGGTTTTACAATGCAATACATTTAAAAATTCAGTCCAGTGGCTAAGTGCCAGTCTGGGCGTTGAGTCTGCTTCTACTGTCAACAGCTTCGTGCTCCTGCTGCAGATTCTGCTGCTTGATGGACTCTTGCTGTCACAGTCCGAGACAATGACCTAGCAGAAACTGCTGAATTTTTTTTCTGAATTAGTTTTCTGCCAATCTGATATCCTCTGATGGCTTGCCAAGGTAAATGAGCATTCCTGCTAGTGCAAGAAAGGATACAGGGTTGCTCAAGAGTAACAGAATAATATAGAAGTATTACATTAATTTGGTTGGTCAGCTGATTTGTTGAAAATCCACACCTGCTTGCACAGATCAACCACAGCTGCCACCAAATGAGGAGACTTTTCTTCCTCTTTTTCCATTACTAGCAAGATCTGTTAGCAGGATTGTTAGTCTCACTTCTTCAAATCACTTCAAAGACAAGAATGTCAATGGCAGCAACAGAAACACAGTAGAGAACAGGGGAAAGCAAGGGATGTAGCAAGGAAGGGGRTAGGAAAGGTAATTTCTGACACCAGGAGCACAATACAGTCGTGAATCATTTGCTTGGGTACTTGCAGCAGGTGCAGTCTCTCAGCCAGCCAGGGCACTGCTGGAGAAGGGGTGCTGCCATCCCCTTCTGCCTCAGGTGTGACCTTAGACTTACACTCTCCCCTCCGTTCCCTGGCTCCACTCTCCTCGGTAGCTCTTTGYCTGCTGCTGCTGGGATAGTCTGGCCTCAGAACACCTCCACAGAGGCTCTGGGACCTGAACCTGAATGCGTCAGTGTGTCATTCCTGCATCCCTGCCTGGCCACACTTGTGTTAAGCCATTTCTTATCCACAAAGAACATGCTGAGTATTTGAGGTGTGTGGAGCCAGTAGAATGCCAGATTATCACAACACTATCACCTGTTGGTTATTACAATTTTGTGGATTCTGTTGGCAAACTTTCCCAGAGCACAGGAGTACTCTGAGAGAAAKCGCTGGGAGTCTGCGTGCTGCAACCAGAGGAACTTTGCCCTCCTCAACACCAGAGGAGTAGAGGTCCAAGAAATAAGACAGCGTGCTGAACTGTACAGAAACACCAGCTGTGCCACAGTGCTGTCAACATATGCAGGTAGAAATGCACTGCTTAATTACTGTCATAATGTAAAAGTCTTTCCCTATTGTTTGCCTGGCTCACATGGAACCACCCCTTATATGCAAAACAGGTTTGCTATTTAAATGTCTGCTTGTGTTTACATGCCATGTACTAGTTTTTCTTGGGGATCCAAGACAGCTGACATTGCTGCCAACATAAATACTTTTGCAAGTTGGAGACTTGTTGTTAAGAGTGTGGTGAGCCTCCCTTTTATCTAATCCAATAGGAGTGCTTTTTGGTTCTGGGTTTTTTTTTCTTTTTGGTGTGATTTCCAGAAGACACAGAGTAAACAAGGTATTTATTTTTCTTTTTTTTTATTTTTTGTTTNNTTTTTTTTTTTTTTTTTTTTTTTTTTTTTTTTTTTTTTTTTTTTTTTTTTACTTTTCCTAACTGTGGACATTGCTAGCAACTGAAAAGGTAAACACAACATTTTGGAGGTTCAAGTAGGAATGCCATTTGTGTATACTGCTGCTTCATGTAATTCCTCTCTCCTGCTTAGAAAACCTCCACTTTAAGGCACAGGAGCTTTAAAGCTGAGCCACAACAGTTTGAAAGCAGACCTTGACTGATTGTTTAGGAAAGCATGTACTGAGGAGTCTGAAACCCCCTTGTAAATGTGGTATGAAGTTTTTACCACAAGAGAAATTGTCTGTGTTTAGTTCAATTGGCTRCCGGATTGAAGCAATTCCAGTTTTGTGTCTTTTTCAGTTTTAAATTCTGACTGGTTTAGTTTTTTTAAGGTTTACTATTCTCACTGATAACATCTTTCTGACTTTACATTGAGGGTGATTTATTGGACTAAATAAATATGCATTGCCTAGCTTGTTAAAAAATTCCATAGCCTAGATTTAGTGTAGATTCTGGTCTAAGGGAATAAGCAGACTTGAGATGTAGTGCAGTTGTGCTGTTTATGAGGGCGAAAAACTTCCATGGAGGAGTAGACTGTAGCAAGTGTTCTAGAAGCAAACTCAGTCTTCTGTTTCCTAGTCCTATACAATTGGAATGTGACTACTCCTGAGACCCCTCTATGTAATATCYCAATGGAAATGTCTTATTTCCTTTAAGTAAAACAAGGAATGTGTTTTGGCATAATGCTTGGCTGACTTTATGTATTTGGAAAACACTGTAAGTCCAGGTCTGATGCTGGAGAGAGAACAACCGATCCTGGATTCTTGTGCTTGCCTGGAAAAACAGGATTTTAGTTGGGCTTTGCACTTTACTCTCTCTGGGGTTTTYGTTTGTGTYSYCMCCCCMCCMCCCCAGCCCTGCCTCCCACACCCCAAGACTCTCCCTGAATGTGTTGGATAGTTCTTTTGGGACCTATCTGAAACAATTCAAGAACAAGCTGCCTGCTGCACAWAGTGTAGAGCTCGCTCTCTGATGGGGACCAAGGGATCGAGTTCAGCATATTTCCTCATTTCTGCTGGTTTGTTTGAAAGACATGTCGTTTCAGCTGTTTCGGAACATGTTCAGAACAGGCATTTACAGAACCTGAAGCCAGTGGAAATGCTATCCTTTTTACTCACTTTTCTTGGAGAGGATTAAAGCAAATAAACATGCAGKGGCTCATCCTGCTTCAAGTCCATGTGAGCTGCCCTGAAGGACAGAAATGGAAAGAACAAGTACTTGGCCCTGGTGTCTACCAGCACCTTTTCCTTACTGCTGYTTGGGCTTCTTCCAGSCATTAGATCTGCCATAGATTCCCTKGCTAACAACTGCTATTTCTTTTKACTYTTCTGGTGTGCTGGAAACAGTCTCTGCTTTGGAAATCATTACAGCTGTGTAACTTGCAAACGATGAGTAATGGTTTCCTCCAGTTAAACTTCCCCTTCTCTTAATGTTTCCACTGTGCTCATCTTTCYTTGTCTGTGCAGTCCTGCCCAGAGGTGAGATACTGGATCTCAGTGCAGCAGCTTCTCTTGTGCCTTGGAGAGGAATTGCAGGTAAACATCAGCCTCCCCTGAACAAGGCACTTGGCAATGATAAACCTAGAAAATAAATAGAAGGCTCCAGTAAATGCCAAAATGCATTAGGGGATATTGACCTAATGGCTACATAATAATTTTCCCTTCTCCTCACTAGCACCTCTGTCATCCAGAAAGAGGTGACCGACTACATTCTTTTCTCCTAGGAAAAAAATTACCTTATCAATTCAGTTCTGCTTCCTTATTCCTTTAGTTCACAAAAGTACAGCCAACTCTTCTCYATCAAATCATTGAATTCATATAGGTCTGAGCAATTTTTATCTCTGTGTGTACAGCTCTCCAGTCCCCTGCTTGTGTTTCAGGCTTTTGTGTTCCCAGAAGCCTTTTTTTCTGGGGGTTTTCTGGGGGTTTTTTTGGTTGTTTTTTTGTTGTTGTTGTTTTGTTTTTTGTTTTTTTCCCCAGTTATAGCTCTTGGTATAAACGACATTGCTGAGATCTACAAACTTTGCCTTGCCCACGTCCTTGGGTTATGCCAGCTGCAACACTGTTTTCTTCCGTGCAGGCCTATCTCAGTAGGGTTTAGGAGCAGAGTAGCATCGTGGATGTATCCATCCCCTGGCAATTTAGCTTTGGAGGGACTGGCAAGCTGATTTGAATTCCTGCAGTCCTGGAGCGTGAGCATTGGAACACTCCTTGTGTATCTTTCCTGTATATGATTTGCCAATTTTATTTCTCTTTTATTCAAGAGGGTCTAGTAAGTGGGTGTGCCTTTGAATACAGGTAGGGGTCGAAAGAAAAGTCAGTTCCTTTCAGTTGGCTAGACAAGTAACTAAAGCAGCACTATTTTGCTTTGTTGTAATATATATATGTATTATGAACTTTAAGCTTRTTTAAAGATCCTGTATTTCTGATTCTGTGTGAAACTCAAACTGTTATGACTCAATCTGTGCTTGAGAATCCACAAGGGAGAAGGTAGAAGAAGCTGAATACTGACTTTGGGTTTGTTTTGAAAAGGATGGAAAAGTTTCTCTGCAGATGGATGTACAGCATTTATATATAACCATATAGCCATAAGATCCATACTGTGTGAAGGGAGTGTATGCACAAGTGTACACACACACACACACACACACACACACACACACACCTTCACACATATCTCTGTTTCGTCCCTTGTCACTTGATTCTAGGATTTTCCTTGATTATAGTTGGGGGTGCTGTGTCCAGGAGCCTCCAGGTATTCCCAGTTTAGCTATTTCCTCAGTCACCATTTGGCAGTAAGTGGAAGATGTTGTGACACTCACAGTGAGGGTGTCACAGAGGGGCTGAGAGTGTGGGCAGATCTGTGTGCAGGTGACAGGCTCACACGGGAGCCACTTGAGTGCAGCAGGCTGCAGCGCAGCCTCGCATGGCACCAGTACCTTGGTTTTCCATCAAGGGCTTCATGGGTCTGCCCAGATCTCTCTCCCTTTCTTCCTCTCCTATATTCTTTTTCCTTTATTTTCCATCCCTGTTGCCCTGCTCTGAAGCAGGACTACGAGATCAGAACAGCATCATGAGCAGGAACACTAGGGAATTTGTGCTGCACTAGACAGGCTGAGTAATCTCCCTTTAAATAATCTCCCTTTAAATAGCCTGGAAGCACACTGGTGAGTTTCTGTTTCAGGAGCCATGTGGGCTGTATAAATAGCCAGATCTATGCTGGTAAGTAGTGAACAGCACAATTATTTGCTCTAGGAAGTTTTTCCAATTTCCTTCATGTTACTGCATGGGTAGCTGTGATCCAGTTCTGGTAACATTCTGTACAGCAGTGGTGCTGCTGCTTTTGCTCACACGGTCGTGTCTTCTGCAACTGTGAGGAGGGAGCAGCTGCTCCAGGGAGATAGACTTCTTTCCCTAGTGGCTTTGGATCAGAGTGGCAGTGGAGCTGTGGCTTGGTATGGTCTGTACAGCTGTCTTTAGCTAAAGCAGTGCAGTTCAAAGCCTTCTGTGCAGGGCTGTGAGTTCAAAAAATCTCGCTGCTATTTATAGCATCTGGAAGGTGAAAGCAAGGAATGTTTGAACACTCACTGCCTACCTATGGATAGAGTGGAATGTATGGTCCTGTGAGCTAGCTAGCCTTGTGCTTCAGACTTGTCTGRAGGACAAACTCAGTTTATCTGTGTTGTCCTAACTCAGAAATAAACATTGTAAAAAAAAAAAATAATTATTGACCAAGTCTGTGTTAGCTCGGCTGGTTAATGCAATCTTTCTTCTTAAGGACAGAARAGTGCAAACTATTCTCCAGGTAGGTACATGCACTCTGAGGCTGCCCCCATATCTGGTCCTGAATTATTAAGGCAGCCTTCAAGAACATCAGGAGCTGATCCATGACTGGTAGCCACTATAGTGCTTTCCAACATCTAGGTAAATAGGAGAATCCTCAACAAAGAGTATAGCAAGYCTTGCCTCAGAGAGGTAGGAGGCATTTGAATTTATTACTCATAGTGTATTGTCATCTTCTTCCTGCCATGCTACCCACTCAATGCGTCAGAGATCTAAGGCTTGATTTTTTTTTAATATTTATTTTTCTTTTTTTTTCCCCCACCTTCTCTGCTGAGCAGGGGATATACAAGTCTTCAGTTTCTGGTGCATCATGTCAGAGAATTTTTTTTCCTTTTATCTTTTTCTTTTTTTTTTTTTTCTAATCTTTCTCATATTTTTCCCTATCTGCTCAGGCATAATTCCCTCAAGCTACTGTTTTTTTTTACTGGGGTGAGTTGGCTCGCTGAAGAAGCTTGGTGCAAGAGCACAGAGGGCCAAGTAGGTCTGAGGAGAGGAAGAGAAGCTAAGCAGGGGGCATAGCACAGGGAGGCAGCATTCCTAAATTCTCCCTCATGTTKTATTTCCCGCATAACAATACTTTTAAATCACTTTGAAGAGGACAAGGTTTCTGCCTAGTCAAAAGAGCCCACCCAAAGCTATGTGACACCATTTAGACTGTTTTTCAATCTTATGGAAGGAGGGATGCTCTTTTCTTTCCTTATTCATGCTCAGTGCTTCCCATGCTCAAACTGGGGCACAGCTGGGGCCAGGGATTGGCTCAGTGWGTCATTTTAATGGGATTTTAAGGTCATATGTGGCAAAGCAGGGGTTCTGTGCTGGGTTTTGGGTAACCTCAACAGAGCCATTAATGGTCTTCTGAGGAGAAGTCCTACAATATCTTATTATCAACAGTCTTCTGAATTACAGAGTAMACCCACAAAAATCCAAGCCTGAGCGTTTAATTAAAAAGACCAAACAAAGCAGAGCTTTYTTAATAACTGTATTTGGCGTACTTACCTTGTGACACTCAAGTCAGACCAACCCCAGGCTGTTCCTGGGGTAAGTTTGGCCTGAGTTACAGCTACTATGCTACTCATAGGCTTTCTCTGGAAAAGCAGAAGAAAAAGACAAAGCTGAAAGTAGCAGAAATGATGTTTCCATCCAGGATAGGTGCCACTGAGCAATGGAATCTTCCCCCACATTTTGCAAGGTCAAAATGCAGTGTGCTTTGTCTTCTTCCCTCTAGCAAAATGGCCTCGTTCCCTGTCTTGGAGCAGGAAGTGTTATTCCRGAACGGTACCTGGAACTATCGAATTCCAGCCCTGCTCTACCTGCCACGGTTCAGCATGATCCTGGCCTTTGCTGAGGAACGAGAGGACCTGGTGGATGAACATGCCAAGCTGATAGCCATGCGCAGAGGCGTGTATGACCCAGCCATGCACCACGTTCAGGTACCAGTGTGGGGAGGAAGTGGGGGACACTGCCCTCTGTTTTGCTCCCTTGCCCCAAATGAATTGAATGTTTTTGCATGATTGCTGTAGGGACAAGGCAGCTTCTCCTCCCCAGTTACAGGAGACAAATTCTGCCTRTAAGTAATGCACATCTCATTGTAACTGCTGGGATTCAACCTTGTCACTGGGCAGTTGTTGGGGGGACTAAAGTGAAGTTAGGYTCAGCACGAATTCTGGGGGTGGATTTGACCTCACATTGCAGAGCTGGGGATGCAGATGCAGAGCTGRGACTAAGGTCTCAGTGTGGCAGCAATAATGCAGAGGAGAGGCAGAAATCCCTCAAGGAAGAGGAATAAATGCTGCAAGGATGAGGAGGAGTAAATTAGTGATCAGTGACTATTTTTTTTTAACTCCTTATCTTAGGACTAATTCTGATTTAAAAATCAATTAAGAATAACTAGTTTCCCCATGAAAAAAAAAAATGTGTCTGTTTTGTTGGTGCCAGTGAATTGGCTACCTTATTAACCTACCACTTATTATTAACAATCATGCTGCTGGGTGGCTGGGGGTGGTGGAAACTCTATTTATTATAATTTTTTGCATATGCAAAGGCATGGAAGTCTTGGAGGAAAAGAATAATTATTTTTCTATTCCAAATCTTCATTGGTTGTCTTAAATTATAAACCCTTAAGGGTTGGAGTCTGCCTAGCAGAAGCAGCCTCTGAGCCCATCTGAAGTATCATACCATTCAGGTAACATCTTGTGTAACTCCYTGTAATTCAGTTAGTAGGGCTCAGTTGGTCATAATTTGTTAGTAATCTATGTTCATGTGCCAGGGTTTCTTAAAATAGAAATATTAAATATTCAATAAATGTTAATATTTGTTGGATAGAAAAAGATAAGACATGAATAAAAAGGGCAATCAGCAAATCAGGGCAGAAAAGCTAATTAATATAATCTTACTGGAAAGTGCTGCTTCTCTTACCAAGCCAATAATACTCTGTAGTCATAGTTTTCTAATTGCAATATTAGTGTTAGAAATGTGATTGTGTGATGTGCTATTCATTTAAAGAAAACAGGACATTCTGGGTAGTTATACTGGCTCTGTGACCAATTTTTCTGAGTCAGACAGCTCAGAGTCCAAATCCCCACACCAGACCATGCAATCAGCCCTAACAAAGTGCCTCAGTGTAGGCTGGGATGCCCATTCACATACTGATCAAAGTGGAGGAACCRGAGTCTGAATGGAAAGGAATTTCTCAACATTCAGGATGTTTGAAAAGGGGTCTGGAATCTCTGTGATCTGCTAAAAACATTGGCACAGCAGAGTGCCTATACTRGCACACTTTGACCACTGGACATATCTGTGTGCCACACACGTATTTGTGAGGATTTCTGAAAATTCAGCGCTGTAGCTTTTTAAATAGTGTCATCAGCCACCAGCTACATCAAGGTATGGAGCTCTCAGTCCCTCAGGGAGTAGTATTTGAGAAGGACATAACCCACCTGCTTGGTGAAGTGTATGTGCTTTGTGCCATCTAAATAACTTTCATGTGCATTTGGCRATGCCAGATTATTTTCTTCCCATTTCTTCTTCTATGTGTTATTCTGTTTCTGCTCTTCTCACGGTCTTCTGTAGCTTTTATACAAGCACCCTTTCACTATAATGTGGGTYTCTTTGTAACTGTGTTCCATTCTTGTCTCCCTTCACACGGGCCCTGGCAGTGGAACAGGATGGAGACCCTTGTCAGCGCGCAGCTGGAAGATCACCGATCTATGAACCCCTGCCCAGTATACGATGAGGTCTCAGGGAAAATCACCTTGTTCTTCATAGCTGTCCCAGGAAAGATCTCTGAGCAGCATCAGCTGARGACAAAGATCAACCTGGTACGTCTCTGCTATGTCACTAGCATGGACCAAGGACACACCTGGAGCACTGCCCAGGATATCACCAATGGGACCATTGGGAAYGAGTACAAGAACTGGGCCACGTTTGCAGTGGGGCCAGGTCATGGATTACAATTGCACAACGAGGCCCGGAGCCTGGTGATTCCTGCCTACGCCTATCGAATCTTGGACCCCAAGAAGCATCCCACCCCTCATGCCTTCTGCTTCATCAGCTCTGACCACGGGACAACGTGGGAGATGGGGAACTTCGTGGGGGAGGAGAGCGCAGTGGAGTGCCAGGTAGCGGAGGTGCACACATGTGGCAGAAAGGTCCTTTACTGCAATGCAAGGAGCACCAGGGGAGCCAGGATCCAGGCAGTCAGCTACAACCATGGGCTGGACTTCGAGGGAGGCCAGCAGGTTGAAGTGCTAGTAGAACCTCCCTCTGGATGTCATGGAAGTGTTATTGCCTTTCCGCCTCCCCCAAATGCCAGATGTCAAGAYAGTTGGTTACTCTATGCTCATCCCACAGACCCAAGGGGTCGAAAAGATTTAGGAATCTACCTCAACAAAAGTCCTTTAAATCCAGCACACTGGACAAAACCCAGCATACTCTTTAAGGGTCTGTGTGCTTATTCAGATCTGCAATACATGGGTACAGGGCCTGATGACTCACCTTTGTTCTCCTGCCTCTTTGAATATGGGACCCACCGGCAATGTGAAGAGATGATTTTTGTCATGTTCACCTTGAAGCAAGCCTTTCCCTCAGAGCTCTGAGTCTTAAGMCTTTCCCTCAGAGCACTCAGCCTCAAACCTTTCCATCAGCATCACTCTGAAAACCACCCTTGCTGATGCTTTTTTCTGTTATTTCTCATCCCTCAGCAAAAGGTTTTTTATAYTATTGCACACATAGTTTGGTGTTGCCTTGTTGTGTCCGTAGATTACTAAGTCTATTAAACATATAACAACTTAACGTATTTGGTCTTGTTTTCTATTGCCTGTTCTGCCTTTTTGCCTTTCCCTCCAGCTGCCTTTTTATGCATCACATGCCCAAAACAGGTGCGACTTTTGTACAAGACTTCTCACCTTAAGGTCTCTGACTGACTTGATCAGAGATGTGTGCTGAAGTGCAGGGGCAGCAAAGGAACAGATGGCAGCAGGGTTATGCTCTGTGGTATTTAGTAAGTTCTGGRGAAAGTTCTAGAGAAGGCACTTACTACCCTATACATGCCATCATCTTCAGGAAACCGCTTTGGCTCTGGTAAGGAGCACTGCTTCTTGAAGCCACTGTAGGTATGTGGGCATCTCTAATTTCCAGGGCTTTCTGAYTATTTATTTCAGCAAGGCCGTGTGATGCCTTGCTCTTGGGATATTCCTTACCCATTTCTGTAGTGCATTTGGGGGTGCCTTGCTGYGTTCCCAGGCATTTCAGCGGCTTCTGTCTAACTGAATCTTCTCCTTACTTCCCATCCTGTGTCTTTGCTTACTCACCCTTTTGCTTACACTGCACTGAGAAGCTGCAGTTTCTTATGTGTAAGAAAACCACAGCCTTGTGTGCTCTGGCTGCTCCCTCTCCCTGGGCAGTGACAGTGGGAGTCGTTGAGGACACCAGGGACCTTCCRTGTCTGGGGACAGTGCAAGTGACAGAAATAGCATTTTTCCTGTATGGGAACTGCAGGATCAGGACAGGTCTGCAGAGGGAGCTCATAATTTACACTCGGCAGGGGAAGTGCTTGCTGGTCTTTATAACACAAGTGCCAGCCTATGATCCGTGTAGCAACTACTCTTATTGTTGGCAATCCCATATCTTTTTATTACAGGGTATTATTGGCATATGAGACACTATGTCACACAAATAACATCGCCCCACTTCCAGTGAGAAAGCTCCAGTGTCAGAGGGTGACCTGACCAAGAMCGGAGTAGCATGAGAACACTCAGGTTGGAAGGTTTTCCAGCACAATTTTTCAGCAACATTCTGAAAGAAACGGCTCTACTTTGTTGAGTGAGACACTATTCTGCAACTATACAGCATAATTTGAAAGGAGGCATTATATAATGACTTGACAAAGGACTGACCAGAAACGAATGGCTGCCAGGGGAACATCAGAGTAGATGGAGCTAGGAAAGTGTTACCCACACCTCTGGACAAGATTCTGCTCATGAACCAGTCTGTGCTTGTTTCCTGTGTGCTGTATCCTGCATGTTTGCACATGTTCAATGGCTGTAAGGAAAATACGATTGCTCACTTGGTGAAGAAAAACACCTGCTTTCCAGAGCTCGTTCAGAACACATCACCTTCGGATCCTGTAGGATCCTTTTCACTGACACAGATCATGTCTGCAAGTCTCTGCTTTTACAGTGCTCCTACCCTTGCCTTTTACTGCTGACAGCTTTCCTGGGCAGTGGGAGAAAGGGCCCTGACTTTCTACACTACTGAGATTTGTTTCAGGGCAYCTGGATGCTACAGATACCAAGGGAATGAAGGGGTCTTGTGCCCTTCACAGATACACCTGTAACTTGCCAAGTCTTTCCCAAGCAGCAGATCAGTAACATGCTGGGCTGGAGTAGCAGAGTGGCTCAGGTAGCCAGGACTTTGTGGATATTACCAGAGTCTAAATACACCTGTGGCCAACAGCCTGTCACTGATACTAATGAGGGCATGGTATATCTAGACTTTAGCAAAGCTAACTGCTACCCTATAGACTTAACCTCCTCACCATGTACTTTGGAATACTTTAGTTTCATGACATGGAAATGCATATTTAAGAAGTTTTTATCTGGCCAAGCCTGGTAGTTCCCATGCTGATGCAGTGCAAAGGCTGCATGTAAGTGGGGGAGTTGGGCAAAGACTGTATGTCTTGAATCATGACACAAACAATGTTTATTTACTGGTTCTGGAGAGGCTGGTGAACTTACACCCAGCTCGTACAATACTACCTGGACATCTGTAGCAAAACCAGTTTAGATAAATTGTCTATCGGAGTGTCTTAGAGATAACGTATTATTCCAAGCTAACAAGCCATTAGGGATCACAGAGCTGTTTATCTTAGGGAATTGGGATTCACMTTTTGAGCAGCTGGAGCTGTACTGTGCTTACTTTTAGGACCAAGAAATACTCACAGAAACCAGCCTGCACATTCAAYTGCCACAATCATCACTTGTAATTTGATCCCTTCCCCTTGTTTCTGTCTCTAAGTCAAGGAGTTGCATGTGTCTGGACAAGGGCTRTGAAGGAATAGCAGCAGCTTGCTAAAAATCTATGTTGTTGGTGGGGTGGATAGGAGCTAAGTATGCAGCTAATTAGTCTTAGATGTCTAACAAGGGCTTGTACCTGTTASCTTGTGTTAGTTTGCGGGGAATCAGGAGAAGYTCTCCAAACAGTTTTCTTCCAGCAAAACTCATGTTGTGAGCAGCTGTGTCCACTCTGCATGCAGATACTCTTGCATGGAGAGAACTGGGAGGTCAAGCAGTGGTTGACATTCAGAGCTGTTCTGCCTCCTGCTGCAGCTGTGCTCCAGAAAAGATACTGAAGGTACCAAAAATCCCAGGGAGTTGGTTCATGTAAGGTTAGCAGTGCACTGTGGCCACGCAGGACTGTCAGAGCAGCTGCATGTTGCCTTTGCCATATGTGCTCTCTCATTTTGGTTGGGAGAATTGAGTTTATAATCACTCTGTAGCTTACAGCTACTGTCCACTGGCAGAGCCTCTTCATGGCATTCAGTGTCTGACTCCATTAGGCACCTGAATCCATAGGAATCTGTTAAAGACCTGTGTGGATGTTAGTGAAGCTGAAAGCCAGGTTCAGCTGGGCTGAATTCAGTGTGCAGGCAGTTGCTCTGTGTGGACAGGAAGCCCTGCACTGTGCAGTTCTGCTCATCCTGCAGGGCCCTGCRTTGACCACACAGCTCGGAGCTGCTGCTGCCCACAGTTTCATCTCAGTGCRGATATCAAACTGGACACTGCAGACCAGGCCTCTGCATAACTGAAAGCACCAAGAAGGTTTGCAGGGYTGGATGCTGGGTTGTGCTGACTCTCCCCCTCCACAGCCACAYGTTCTGGCCTCTCCCTGTGCAGTGACTGTTCTCTCCTGCTGTGCTGTCCATGCAGTGCACAGCATGGTCCAGGTACTGTGGTTCCAGTGCTCCTTCTGGCTCTGGGAGCCAAGAATTCCATAGGGCTAGCACGGTTTGTGCCTTTCCTCTGCTGTCAGACTCTGAGTCCCAGCTCAGCTGCTGCTTTTAGGTATAGCTCAAACATGGATGTGCAGAGGACAGAGTGGTTGGAGGTACAGGATAGGCAACCAAATTTGCCTTGCAGGCAGTGCCCCTGTAGCAATGTCCTGGCATTGCTGCAAATTTGTCCCTTGTGCTGTCTTGGAGATGCAGCACTGAGCATGCCACATAGAATAGCTGAGGAACAGATGTACAAAGAAAAGGGAAGTGAAAGCTCCAGTTCTCTCCCCTCTGACGCAGGTTGCCAGACATGGCCATCCCACCTTTGTTCCATCCCACCTTCGGGGATTTAGAGTAGTAAAGATCTTTGAATCCATCTCACAGAAGCTGACAGGGAGCTTTGGCCACAAATCCYCAGTGCAAATCAGCCTTTCAGTCTGCTTCTGTGCATAGACATATGCAGCAGTAGTTTTATTTTGTTCAGTTCTTCGAAGTCCCCTCCTCACARCTAGCTAGATATGAGGACTAGTCAAGGCAGGAATGGCACAGTCAGTGCTATGTATCCTAATGTGCAGCGTGTTTCTGATCAGAGATTTACTTATGCCCCGTAGAGACCTGTAGTATGTAAGACAGGCAGACAGGAAAAAGAAGAAAACTCAGATGATCTGGCAGGAGATCGTAAATAGGACGGCAGGCCACCAAAGCCTGGGGCACTGAGTCTGTGAGGGAGTAGAAGAGATCTCCGGCTGGGACTGGGACACAAAGTGGGAAGGAGAGGCAGGGAACATGGGTTTGCTAGTCACTTCAGCTGCAGCATAAAGAGAGAGAACGGGGGCTGCAGGGATATGTCATGCTCACTCTCTGAGCTGTGTGAGTTGAGGAAGTTGTCCGTGGCTGAGTTTCCTTTCTCTCTCTGTGCTATTGAAACAGGAAGCTGGTGAGCTGAAGCTCGCTGATCGTTACACACAGACACACAGGCGGCTCTGGCAGCTCCTGTGTTGGCATTCAGGTTTCCTCCAGCTCCAGCGATGGATCAGTGCTGGTACCACGGCAACATCACTCGCTCCAGAGCGGAAGACCTGCTCTCCAAAGTAGGCAAGGATGGCAGCTTCCTCGTGCGGGCCAGTGAATCAATTGCTTCGGCATATGCGCTCTGCGTTCTGTAAGTATGGCGTTCACCGCGCCCTCAGCCCACACCACTGTCCCTGCTGGGCAGAGTCACCCCTGCTCCTTCTCCAGCAYGGAGACAGACAGGCACTGTACCCACTGGGAACGTGCAGCCCTCATCAGAGCACGGCTGCTTTCACCTGACTAGACCGTGGGGTGAGGAAAGGTTGGGAGCCAGGCTGAAAAAACCCCGAGTCGTGTACTGCTGTACTGCTCGTGCTGCTCTTGCCCCTGATTCAAAAGGAGAGAGTGGTCAAAGGCACTGAAGCTAGGCTCTGRGAGATAATAACCTCTTGAAATTCTGGAGTCTCTTTACGACTTGGGTCGGTATTTATCTTTAGTGACCCCAGTTCTGAGCCTGGTACCTCCCAGGCACTTTTCTTGCTCTGGTTCAATGCATGTTTGACTCACCCACTTGTACCACGTTGTATTCAACAAAAGGCTTGAAATAGTTCCTGGAACTGTGCACAGTATACCCAGTGCAGCGATGATTCCACCTGCATCATTAAGGTGGCTCATGGGGTAAATGTTTCATGTGGGAAATAGGGAGAGAGGTGCTGTCAGCCCTGTTGCCCCTATTTTGGATTAGATCAGGGAGCAGAGAGCAAGGCCTCCTGCCCTGGGTTGAGAGGGGAAGGTGTTATTCCTGGAGGCAGGAGAGCAGGRTGAGAGGAGACTGAAGCCAGTATGCAAAATTTGAGACATTTACTTTGCATCACTGAGAAATCAGACAGTTGCTCCTTGCTTAGGAGAGATCAAGAGACCCCTTGTGGGACCCTGTCAGATTCTCTTTGCTGCCATTGTGCAGCAGAACAATGAAACTCATTTCATCTTTACCCCATTACATTACAAGCATCTGAAAATACATTTCTTGTAGTGGTGAAGGTGGTGCTGCTGTTTATAACTCTGGGCTAACTGCTTGTCTCTGAGGTCAGAATCTGGTGACAGCCCATGCAGAGCAATGTGGGGCTGGGTAACTTCCCCATGGGTGTAGGTGTTGGACTGTCACAGAGTGGTAGCTGGGGGTGGGGGGTTGTTCACAAGGTGCAGAGAGTCTTGGTGCCTGCCTGCTATGGTGCTTGTAACAACACAGGGAAGGGTTTTGTCTTTCTGGAGGGAGCAGAGAAAGAAAGGCAGCTGCAGATGAGCTGCCAGTACTATCAGGAGGGCGGAGAGACAATCCTGTAACACGGGCTGAGGGCCYGAGTGGTCAGTCAGGGAACAATTTACTAGAACAGCGTGTTGCTTCCATTGAGTGATTTCAGTATTACCCCACTGATTTGGCTCATAACCAGTATGTACACAAAATGTTTTCACCGAGTGGTGATTATAGAAAGGGATTATAGAAAGTGGGGATTATAGAAAGGGAAGGTGCGGCAAAAATGCCTACTAACATGCATTTGCATAAGTTTTTCCACTGTAAATTTTATGCAGCTACTTTGAAAGTCTTTTGTGACTTGAGAGACATGGGATCAGGAAACAGAAACAATATCATGACTATGATTCTCTGAACTGAGAGCCAAAGGTCATGTTCTTAAATCCGTTCTGAGGTGGCTAATATGGGCTTGATTAAAGAATTGGGGAGTACCCAGCCTTGCCAGCCAAGAGCAGCTGGATCAAAGGTGTGGAGGGCTGGCATTAACTATGGTCTAACTACAGTTTACAGGGAAATGTCACACAGACTGCTGTGAAACGATCTGACAAGTTTTCASTTTATGCTGGTTTGCAGTTAGTTTGTGGAAAGGTGGTGAATAAGTCTTCCTCTCTGGATGCCATCTCTACAAAATGGGCAGCTTTGCTGAAACTGAAAACTTCCTCAGAGAGGTATCAGTTTCAGCTATGCTATTGACTGGGTGGTGTCTGAAGTTTGAGCTCTTCAGTTACTTTTGTTTAAAAAATAGAGAGGCTGGAGACAAAGAATGAGAGAGTGGGAATTGAAAGGCTGACTGTAAATTGTTTCCACATAAAAGAATTACGTTGAAAAGGAGAAAATGTCAACTGTGTGTAGATATGGAAAACAAAGCCCCATTAAATTTGCTCTGAAAAAGAAATACCATATTCTACAAAGCTCTAATACTTATTGGGCAGATCAGTCAAGATCCAGCAAAAGCATTTATTATTGTAATAACAGAATGAAAAAATGATTTTGTTGAAGAGCTGCTTTAGAAAAACAGGGTTGGTATAAATATAGACAAGCAGGGGAGGTGTATTTGCAGGACCTTTTAAGAGTGTCTCGYCTCCTTTCTGAAATTTAGAGCAGCAGTTAGAGAGTGAAAGGCTGTAGAACGCTCCTCCCCCTGCACTGCTGTCTCCTGCTCTGGTCACACTGCCCCATAAAAGGCAAGAAGCAAAGCCCTTTTCCTCCTCCTTTCTCTGTGCCTAAATGATCTGCCAGTTTATTGACAAGAAATGGACTCTTACTCACCTGGAGGGGAAAGCCTGAATCCTGAAACCCAAAAGATCCTGCTTAGTGTTTCCTGCACCTGAGCTAGTACCGTTCCTCCAGGGGATCTTCTGTTGGCAGTTCAYCCATGAATGGCTGCAGGACTAACAACACTTCTAGGGCTGACACTCCAGGACCAGCTGCAGCTTTGGGACCACTCTAAGAGTACCCTGCATGTGAGATGCCCTTTCCAACGTCGTGCCTCTCTCATGGTGCACTTGGCACCAAGCCTAGCACAGCAGATCCTGTTTAGGATCTCCAGACAGTCCAAATATGCACATCATCACCTGTGAATGAAAACATACAGCAGGAGAGAAAGGAGACAGCCTTGTCACACTGTGTCCTCCTCTGGCTGGTTGAGAGGGCAGAGATGGCAAGTACTTGGTCACTTGTTTAAACTGAAGCTGATATTTTATTTACCTTCCACATGGACAGCCTAAACAATGGTTGAGCAATTCTGAACTCAGCTTTTAGGGAGAACCTGGAATGTGGTGGTAGCTGGGATCACATATTTTGACAGTCAGGATTCTGAGGAGAGAATGCCTAAGGRTAAAAATGGAGTAAGAGCCCCATTCTTCTCCACCCACATCCACTACATTAGGGGACTGGCAAGGAGGATTCCTGCCTTTGATCCTAGGAAGTGTTCCTCCCTGCTCCTCTCTCACCAGACTGTCCTTCTTTCACTGTTCTTCCACTGATCTTACTTGTCCTCAGCTTAAACCTCTTTATAAGCATTGTGGCAGCAGCCTTGTAAGATCTGTGTGATGGGACAYTTTCTGTGAAGGCCACATGAGGGTCCTCTTGTGAGCAAGAGCCATTGAGCTGCTTTGTTTATCAGTTTCATAATCTCCACTCACACAAATTGTCTCTCATCAGCTGCATGAACAGTTCTGTTAGCCCTGTTTGCGTATCAGCCGGAGGAAATTGTGTAAGAGAGCTGCMCTGACACATAAAACCAAACCCCATACCCTTCCTTGGGGCATGTCTTCCCCTGTCATTGATTGCCCTGCATTGGTGAAATCAGCAGTGCTGTAGATGCCCTAAGCAGTTGGGGATCACATCTGTATCAGATGTGTGAATGAACAGGTGCCTGTGTAACAAGCTCTGGTGACAGCTCAAATTCTTCTGTGTCCTTTGCCATTAATGCTACCAAAAGACACAAGTTCATAAGGATACATGACCAGATCCTCTAGACATCCTGGGAAAACTCAATTATGATCTAGAAGTAATTTATTTTCACTTCCAGTGTCTCTTTGTGACTCCTTATGTCAGGCTACCTGAAATCCTGGCAGTCTCCTCTCTCCTTCATGGAATGAGTCTGAAAGGTGTATGGTGAATACACTCAGAACACAGCTGTAAAAGGAGATTAGGATGTGGATTGATCTGCCCAATCTCCTCAGCTGGGGGGCTGACCTCAGCCCACATTTTGTGACAATTCTACAGGTAGTGCAACGTTTCTGTTACAATTAAGGAAGGTTTGAGTATGGATTCTGTCATCTTTTTTGAGAGGAAGGGTTTGAAAACGGCATCTTTTGCTGGCTCAAAGCAGTATCATATCTTTTAAGTGCTTTGCAGATGAATTAAAAGATTTGATCAATTTGTTGTTTCAAGGTAAAAACACATTTTCTAGTCAATAGTTCTTGGATGAGCTGCACAAAGCCCAGCAGCTGAGGAAGGTCAAGCACACAGYACTGCTCAGCTTCCCGTGGGCTCCCGTGAACTGATGTGACCCTCCACTAGGCACAAGATTCCTTCAGCCCCCTCTAAACAAGAATTGAACTTAGCTGGGACAGAATATTTGTTTGTGGGTGCTCTACAGACACACATTTACAGTGTGCATCCACACCAGGATGGCAAGGTGGGTTTTCATTTAGGCTATTATTTAGCATTTGTGGAGGATAATGTGCCTGGAAATCAGCTGTTGCACTGGGTTTTAGCTGAAATTTATGATTTGGTTTTTTTCCAAGACAAGTCAATGCACTAGCCCTTCAGTTCACTCATTTATTGCTGATTTTGGCCCTGTCTCTTTTGGATTTCTACTTTTTTGTTCCTTCCTGAGATGCCTGCTCTACTGACAGCTAGAACCACTTAATGTTTTCTCTCTTTCTGGCCAGAAGAGTTGAATAGCTCCCTCTGAGCTAATGCTGTTACCACTTACTGCAGCAACATCTGCAAGCAGATGTTCCTGTGTCAGTGACCAGCAGGAGTTCAGGTTTGTGTAAGTCTACAAACTCTGAGGAAAGAAGGAAAGAAAGAAGGAAAGGGAGGAGGGAAGGAGGGGAGGAGGAGAGGAAGGAAGGAAGGAAGGAAGGAAGGAAGGAAGGAAGGAAGGAAGGAAGGAAGGAAGGAAGGAAGGAAGG